TATTCTTCTTGCTACTACCTATCCAAATTTAACTAAACTTACAATTTCTCATTTCCAGAAAGAAATCGCTTCAAAGTATTTTACAAGTAAGCATTTAAATATGACTTTGATTAGTTGAGAAATAATAAAAGTGTTACAAATGAAAGAAGAATAATATGTTTCACTACATTACTTTTCTCCTTTAGATGAATCATCACTTCGATCTATTTTCCAAGAAAAAATTACAAATCTTATTCTTATCAATGATGATAAATACAATAACGAAATTTTCCTAAAAAAATATTCTGATAACGTATATGTTCACATTTTGACTTTTTTCAAAAATTTAAAAAAATTAAGTATTATGAAACCATCTGATATGGTATATCCACCTTTAGCACTTTGGTACCCACCTTTATTACTTGATTTTTTGCCATCGAATAGTTTTTCATCTTCGAACCTTACTCATTTATATATTAATGTTGAAACTTTTGGTGATTGTCTTTATTTACTTGATGGTCGACTTAAAAAACTGACGACATTCTGTGTTAATGTCTATCATATGGACAGATTTTCAGACGCTGTTTACAATATGGTAAGTTTTTATAAATAATTTCATTTATGTCACGAGGATGATTACTATTTCAATGCAGTTGACGATTGATCTAAAAAAATGCAAATAAGAGATCAAATCGTTAAGTTTTATTTTGATAAGAAGAAGAAAAAACTGTTTAGAAATTTATCAAATCATCGATATTCAGTTTGTACTTACTAGAAATTTGAATTTAATAAAAGAATCAATAAAATTTGTTGCTAGAAATTGTAATTATATAATATTTTATCAGATAACTTTCACATTAAAAACTATATTATGTTTCATGATTGATCAAATATTATCATATGTGAATGATCATCAGCATAGAATAGAACGAAAGTTTTTCTATAATAACAGTTTTTCCAATACTTGAACTATGACTGAAAGTTTGTCTGAAACTTTGATTGTTCTTTTAAAACTCGTTGGTTGTGCTCTAAAATGAGAAACTCAATTTAATAGATTTGTCATTTGTGGTCATTCACAGACAGAATATAGATCATATACCATGTGTAAAATAATGATGCCATTGACTTAACCTTGTAGATTATCAAAAAAAA